CTATTTGTCCTTATTAAGATAAAAATAGCTAATTCGCGATAACAAGCAAAAACTCACGTTGGCGTAGCCACTTGCCATGCATGCGGTAAGCTGGGCCATAGCCGCAAGCGACGCCGAATGCCCAATCCGATTCCTGGTATCAGCCCACAGTCCGTTTGTTCTGGGCCTGCGAGCCATGCGGCTACTACAAGGATCAATCACACTACATAGCAAAAACGATATGACAATCACCTCACATTATCAACATTTGATTGTACAGTGTTCCGGTAACGTTGGTGGCACGAAAGTTCCGTCAGTAAAGTTGGAACCGGACGGTGAACCTATTTTCCTAAAACGACGCGTCCTCCCATACGGTGAACGGGAATGTATCCTGAAAGCGTTACAGAAAATGGAGCAGGATGGTGTGATAAACAAAGTTGAATCCAGTGCCTGGGTGACCTCGATTGTCTTGTCGATGAAAAGTGATGGCAGGACACCATTGATCTGTGGAGACTATCGACTGACGTTGAATCGCAGATTGCGGAGATGTGCAGCGACCAAGGTCAATTTGGCGAACACATACCTACAGATTCCACTCGATGTCGAATTTCGCTACTTGACGATAATCAACTCGCTGTGGGTAACGTACCAGTATAATTTTCTTCCGTTCGGATTGCATGCGTCGTCTGGCCTCTTTGAATCAGCCATAGACAGTGTAATCAAAGGACTCGACGGAGTACTGGTATATCAAGATGACGTCCTTACTTTCGTCCTTTATAAGAACGAACACGATGCCCGTCTCACGCAGCTACTGGAATGATTCGCCGACAGGAACGTGGCTATCAAGCCGTCCAAATGTGTGTTTGGAGTGAGTAAGTAGGAGTTTCTATTATTCGCAGTTGATTCCCATGGATACCGTCCCGATTCGACACGTTTCAGACCATTGACTAACATCGAATCTCCAAAGGATCAAACGCAGTTGAGACCCGTGATGGGATTCCCAGAGTACTATTCCCGATTTATCCCGAACTTTGCCACAAGGGCGTAGCCGTCATTCCGTGCTCAGTGTTCAGACGCTTGGGAATGATCGGTGGAGTGTGAAGATATCTTACGTGGTTTAATTCGCTGCGTTACTGATCGTACTGTTCTGACCACATTTTCCCCTTCAAAACCGACTACACTCATCACCGATGCGTCTGACGTCGGAATCGGTGCCGTGTTAGAACAAGAAGGATGCCCAGTGATCTGCATTTTACGTCTACTCAATGCGGCGGAAAAGGGACACTCACAGACTCAAAAGGAAGCATTGGCTGTATTTTGGGCTGTTCGAGGATTGTACAAGTACCTTTTCGGATTACGATTTACCATCATCACTGATCACCAAGCGCTACAGTTCTTGTTCAACCCCAACAAATCCATCGCGAAATCCACTGCTGCTATGCTACAGAGGTGGAGTATCGCTCCAGACGAACACAACTATGACATCGAACATCGTCCGGGAAAGACAATCCCGCAGGCTGACTTCCTCTCTCGCTACTCACGATTTTCTGAGGCCGAACAGTGTCATTTCATCTCCCCAGCATCACCAGTGTCTCGGGAATCTTTACGCAAATCTACCAAACAGTACTACTCCGCCATACTCTCAGCGATCAAGAAAGGCTGATCACCAGAGGTAAAGAGAAAGTATTCTCAATTCTCCGCTCACTCAGTGGGGTTGTAAGTGCAATTGGACGGTGTATTGTGTCGCGACGATTGATTGGTAATCCCACCGCCACTATGCAAGACGGTACTAAATGAATTGCGTACAGGACATTTGGGGGTGGAGAAGATGAAATCGTTGGCTTGACAGATGTGTTGGTGGCCGGAGATTGACACAGACATTTACGAAACAGGCAAGAACTGTGAGTCATGTTCACATAAACTACGAACAAGGCCGAAAATCTGGACACCATGGCCGGAAAGTTATAAACCATTGCAAAGGTTCATTTGGATTTCTGTGATCCATTTCTGAACCGGTACTACGTCCTTGTTCTGATCGATTCATACTCCAAATGGCCAGAGGTATTCTTTACGACTACGCCTACCACATCATTTGTGGTTCAAGTTGTACGGAAATATTTAAGTCGCGAAGGGATTCCGTAAGTATTTGTGACGGACAATGGATCTCAGTTCTGCGCGACCAAAATGAAGCTTTGGATGGACAGCATTGAGTGCCGACATCTTTGAACTGCACCTCGTCACCCCTGTTCGAACGAAGCGGCAGAGAATTTAGTCCAAATGGTCAGGAGTGCGATTGCGTCTGCCATGCCTGAAACTCTACACGAGTTGGAAACGTTGGTGGATAAAGTCCTACTCCAATATCGAAACGCAACACATACAACCACCAAGGAGAGCCCGACAATGCTTTTTAATCCAGACGCTTGCGATCCTCCCTACAGTGCCTCGACTCCAGTGACGTCGTGTACTTCCGTGGTAATGATTTGCGACCGGCGTCTGGTA